TAGGTACACTATCATACTGTACCGCACTAGGTACACTATCACACTAGGTAGACTATGATATTGTACCGCACTAGGTACACTATCACACTAAGTAGACTATGATACAAGCATGTTGGTAGAGTAATTAAAAAAATGATTATTAACAATGTAAGAGACAAATATCGCAAAAGAATAATATCAGTAGTATCCTTTGAAAATTTACTCTGCAAGTATTAGCTGTAAACAGTTCTACCATTTTTAAGAGACACCTTGCAAAGGCAACCATTGAATTGTAGGTTTTATTTCAAATGTGGTTTATAATCATTCAGAGATACTCCAAAAGGAATCTAGCTGATGATGGTGCTGTTGGTCCAGGAAAGACAGTCATGTATCTGGAATTGAGCAGAAGAGAAACTTCAACAGCTTACAGTAAAGGTTGATATTGATGTCAATGTTGTTTTTCAGTGTTAAAAAGAAAAATATCTTATATCATGAAACATTTTTTTGGTTGTGTTGTAGATGATATTTGGATTGTTTCCAGTTCTTTAACCTTTGAAAAGCACTCTACATTTGTTGCTAAAAGTACATACTTTGGTCCATATTCTAGCGGAGAACTTGAGATATCTCCTATCAGGTTAGTAACAGGTGTACTATTAAGAAAACAATGCAATCACGACCCTTCTGTATTATGATTGGCTATTCATCTTTTCAATGGCTGCTTAAAAAGGAGTTTTTTTAATAAGCTGGGGGCCGATTCTACTAAGTGTGGATAATCTTGTCTACTCCATATTGAGTTTATAGTCTCTTTTTGAAACCTGACCCTAATTGTAATCTATAGTTTACTGCCATTGTCATGGAAGAAGATTGTAGTATGCCTGTATTTTCTCTAGTGAATAACAAAAATAATGTTTTTGTTTCCTAGCTGTTACTCTCCTTCAAAGTGGCAATCTGGAGGTATGTTTCACAAAATATAAATTTGCTTTAAAAGTAGAATAGAGAAGGATGAATATCCTAAATGTCAATTGATGCTGTTATGTTTTATTCATAGATGTTGTGTTTGCATTGCATGGATATAATGCAGCTAATGAGCTGATGTGTATTGACAATATTGATGACAACGTTAAGAGTGCATATATGCCATTGTTACCACGACTACTTACCAAGTATGAATATTAATATTTTTAGCACTGATGATGTCATGATGGTAGTGATGATGATGTCATGATGGTAGTGATGATGATGATGATGTCATGATGGTAGTGATGATGATGATGATGATGTCATGATGGTAGTGATGATGATGATGATGTCATGATGGTAGTGATGATGATGATGAT